CTGTGGGGAAAAGGGAGATGGGGTCAGGGCGGGGATGTTTGATCCCAACCTTGCAGGGATCAAACAGCTTTGCTGCCTCTGCCATCTGGGTCTGTGTCTGCACAGAAACACCAGTTAGGGACAGTTTCTCCCCCTGGCTGGGGGTCTGTGTCTGGGAGGGGACTGGCGCAGTGGCTGTCACACGCTGTCCTCACTGTCACCGTTCTGTCCCTGCCCAGGTGGTACCTGAAGATGCTGCAGTGCCACCGCTGCCGGCAGTGGTTCCACGAGGCCTGTACCCAGTGCCTCAGCGACCCCATGATGTTCGGAGACCGGTACGGCCCCGCTGGCCCCGGCTGGGCTGGCTCCCGGGGGGACCAGGGGCACATTCCAGCTCTGTCCTTGATCCATCTGACACCACCATGGATCAGGTGGCCCTGTCCCACAGAGCCCCACTCCTCCTGGCCTTGCTGTCACCATTGGCGCTGTCCCACCTGGCCCACGCCTGGGCCCTGCATGGCTGTGGGATGATCCTCACTCCCAGCATTCCCCTGGTGTTTTCCAGGTTCTATGTGTTTTTCTGCTCTGTGTGCAACCAGGGACCAGAGTACATCAAGCGCCTGCCCCTAAGATGGTGAGAATCGGGCTGTGCCTCCTTTGGGATGTGCCCAGGTGGCTCTGGGACACTGGGCTGGCTGATCCCTGCAAGTGCTCAGCTGCAGGCAGTGTCCCACCTCTCCCCAAAGCTCAAGGGATGCTGTTCTGGCACCTGCTGGGATACACCCCTGGGCTGAGCTGCTTCCCCTGTGAAGGGTGGGAAGGTTCCAGTGGTGGGTTTGGGAGGACTGGGAGCTGTAGTGGCACTGGCAGAACAGGACATGGTGGTGGCACCATCCTGCCAGGGCTGCTGACCCTGTGCCCCTCTTTGCTGCAGGGTGGACATCGTCCACCTCGCCCTCTACAACCTGGGTGTGCAGAGCAAGAAGAAATACTTTGACTTCGAGGAGATCTTGGCCTTTGTGAACCACCACTGGGACCCTCTGCAGCTCGGGAAGGTACAAAGACACCTTGGGTTGGGCTGGAGGGCAGCCATGGGAGTGAGAAATGTCACCCCAGCTTGTGCAGCACTCAGCATGACAGCTTCTGCTCCAGAGGAGCTTAATCCCCTTCCTCTGCAGGAGGGCAGCCATGGGAGTGAGAAATGTCACCCCAGCTTGTGCAGCACTCAGAATTGGCACCTTCCTCTGCGCTGGGATTTTCCTCGTTGGAGTGTCAGACCTGACAACTCTCCCAGCGGGAGCTAGAGCTGGGAGAAGCGCTCACAGCAAGGCGTGGTGCCCCTGTCCCCGGGGCGGCTCCCCGAGGAGCCAGACCCGGGCCTTGGCTCCCTCCCTCCCTCCTTCCCTCCCTCCTTCCCTCTCTCCCGGCCCCGGGCAGGAGCCTAAAGCCGGAGTTCGGGTTCCCCCGTCTGTTTGGATTTTGCATAACCAGAGCGGGCACTGAGCCCTGCCTGCCCTGTCCCGCAGCTCACGGGCACCCCGATCTCCGAGCGCGGCCCCCACCTCCTGAACGCCCTCAACAGCTACAAGAGCAGGTGAGCGCCGGGCGGGGATGGGGGCACGGTGGGATGCGGGATGCTCCCGTGCCAGCCCGGCTGAGGGCTGCTCCCTCCCCTCTGCGCCCAGGTTTCTGTGTGGGAAGGAGATCAAAAAGAAGAAATGCATCTTCCGCCTGCGGATCCGCGTCCCCCCGAACCCCCCCAGCAAGGTGCTGCCGGAGAAAGCCCCCGGAGAGGGCGAGAGCGGCTGCTGTGAGCTGAAGAAGCGGGGGAAAAGCAAATACGTCCATAAGGACAGGTGAGCGGCCCCGCTGGCCCGGACATCCCGCAGCAGCAGCAGCCCCCTGCCCGCGCCCCCCTGCTCACGCCCTGTTTGCAGCCTCCTGCCGCGGCAGCTGCAGCAGCAGAAGCGAGCGCGGCGCAAGAGGGCCAAGTTCCTGCTGGAGGATGCCATTCCCAGCGTGAGTGCTTCTCCCTCTCCTCTCTGCAGCCGCGGGGCGCTGCCCAGCCCTGCTCCTGCCAGCAGCCTTTCCCCACTCCCCAGGGAGAGCTCCTGTCGCTCACTTTGGGAAGTGTCGCTTGCCCAGGACACTTCCCAGGGTGCCAGCGGTGGGGTGTGGGCAGCCCCCCTGTGCCAGGCAGTGAGGAGTGAGCTTGTTTTTGTGACAGAGTGACTTCACCTCGGCCTGGAGCACCAACCACCACCTGGCCAGCATCTTCGACTTCACGCTGGATGAGATCCAGAGCCTGAAAAGGTCCGTGCAGCCCGAGCAGGGCTGTGGGGGGCAGGGTGCTGCTTGTGCCAGGCTGGGGGCGATGCTGCATCCCAGCCTGTCCCATCCCCCCTGTCCACAGTGCCAGCTCGGGACAGACATTCCTATCGGATGTGGACTCCACAGATGCCACCAGCACCTCAGGCTCGGCCACCACGAGCCTCTCCTATGAGTCCAGGTGAGGACTGTGCCCCTTGCCCCCTTCTGGAGGGGTCCTGGTGGCATGGCCAGGGGGGTGAGGGCCTCTGTCTCCCCTCCTCATGTCCCACCCTGGGGAGCTTTTCCTGCCTGTGCCCCAAAACGTGCTGGTGGTCCCAGAGTGGCACTTGCAGGGGGTGCAGGATCGGAGCCGTCGGTCCGTGCTGGGCTCCCCCAAATTCCCGGCTCCCTCCAGAAGCCAGCCCGGGGAGGGCACCTTTTGGGTGCTGCCCTCACTGCTGCCCTGTGCCCTCCCCGGCAGCCGCAGGACCGTGGGCAGCCGCAAGCGCAAGCTGGCAGTGCCAGCCTACGCCTCGGGGGCCAAGAGGAGAGGGGGCGAGCTGGGCGGGCGCCCGGCCGCGGCCACCCCCGAGGGCAGCGAGGCAGCGACCGGCCCCGACCGGCCCGACGACGGCATCGACAGCCACACCTTCGAGAGCATCAGCGAGGACGACTCCTCGCTGTCCCACCTCAAGTCCTCCATCAGCAGCTACTTCGGGGCCGCGGGCCGGCTGGTGTGCGGGGAGAAGTACCAGGTGCTGGCACGGCGGGTGACGCTGGAGGGGAAGGTGCAGTACCTGGTGGAGTGGGAAGGCACGACCCCTTACTGAGCCCCTCCAGCCCCAAAACCTCTCCCGGAGCCAGAGCGGAGGAGATCGGGCCGCTGGGGAAGCCCGTGAGGCACAGGAGAGGTGCTGGTCCCTCCTCCCGGCCATCTCGGCGGGTGGAGGCAGCGCCCAGGCGGGCAGGGCTGCCCAGGGATGAAACCTGCAGTCCTGACACTCTATTTTTTTAATGTTAACGATTTTTTGTTCCTTGGCTGTGTTTATGCAGAGCGTGGCCCAGCCGTGCCCTCCTGCTGGAGCCTGGTGGTGCTCAGAGCAGTGAGGGGGTCCGGCCCTTCCAGAAGGGTCCCCCTGGCACAGCTGGAGCAGAGGTTTGGGGGACACCCCACACCCTGCTCACACAGAGGGACCTCGGCCTGTGCCTGGCACAGCCTGGCACAGCCTGGCTCATCCCGCTGACCCAGCCTGACTGGGCAGCCTCGAGGGGCTGCTGCTGCCAAAACACCAACCCCTCCTCATCCCTGGGCTCTCAGAGCTCGTCCCTGTGCCCATGGGAAATGGGGACAGCTCTCGGGGTTTTCACCTCATCCTGAATCCATTCATTAAAGGAATGTGGTTTGCTTTATATGAGAGGAAGATGCCCCAAAACCAGCCCACGTGTGGCTGCTGCAGCCATGGGGCAGATGTGCTCTCACCCCACAACCTGGACCGTGTGTGGTGCTGCACCAGCTTCATTCCCCTGTTCTGACAATCATGATCTTGGAAGAGATCGTCCAAAAAGTCCTCCTTTGCCTTAAAACCACCATGGGCACTGCACAGACTGGAGCCCAAGGCCTTTGTTTCTACAGGAATCTTCATCCCAAATGTGCCAAACCAGCAGACAAACCAAAAAAAGCTGAGGAGGACAGTGAGGCAGGGGCTGTACTGGGGTCCCTGTGGCCATCCCTGTGTTCATCCCTGTGGCCTCCTGGCTGTGCCTCTCTTGTAGTGCTGATTGTGAGCACTGAGCTTGATTTGTCTGCAGGTGAGAAGGAGCAGCCCCTCCTTTAACAAAGCAATACTGCCAGCTTGGGCAGGAGCAGAGCAGCTGGTTTTTTTAAAAAGATTCCAGCATCAGATAGATGTGTTAGATTTTTATCCTTTAGAGAGACAGAGAGATATTTTTAATGTCCTCCTCACCTCTCCCCCATCCCAACGTGGCTGTCCCATGGGATGGAGGGTGGGCCATGCTGGGCTGTGGGGTCCTGTCCATCAGCAGAGCCTGTCCTGTCCTACCTGTGCTTGTGGGATCTCGGCTCATCCAGAGCAGAGTGTCCCTGTCCTTTTGGGAGAGGGGCTGCCAGGTCCCCCCATCCCTGACAGGGAGGGGTCCAGCAGCTGGAGAACTGCCTGTCCTGCCTTAGCTTTGTCCTTGAAGGATCCCTTCAAATATTTCCCTTTCTTAGTGCCTATGGAGCCCTTCCAAGGGGCTGCCAAGAGCTGTGCCAGGGCTGAGGAGGGTTATGCCTGTGGGATGTGCCAGTGGGAGCACCCACAGGATCTGGCCCTGGCTGCTCTCTGCTCCCTCTCTGTTCCCTCTCCTCCTCTCCTGGCTTCTTGCAGAGAATTGAATGTGGAGCCTTTAAAAGTATTTTTGTTGCAGAGTATATTTTGCATTCGCTGTAATAGAGATTATAACAACTCTGTGCACCTTCTGATTTCTGAGTTCAGGTTGCTGCTTGTAAGCACCTCTCGTTATACCCAAGTTGTAATTAATATGTCTGATGTACAATTAAAAAGTGGGTTTTTTTTTCAACATCACTGTTTTTTTGTAGTGTGAGGATTATTGGGTTGGGATGCCCAGTGCCCAGCACGGGCAGCTGGTGCTGCTGGGTTGTGTTCTGTGCCAGGTGAGGTGTGCAAGCCCAGGACAGCCCTTTCCTCTGCCCAGCTGTGACCACGACAGCCTGCCCAGGTAAGAAACTCCTGTTTATTCCCCTCCCAGTCACAAAAATAACCCAAAAATGTTCCTTAAGTTATGTCTCAGACACCATTAACATGAGGATCTTTTCACAAAGTTCAGCTTGGCCCAGGCAGAAAGCACAGCTCAGGTTGGGGTAGGGACACAGTGCCAGGGCAGTGCCATGGTCCTGCTGGCACCTGGGCTCCCTGAACCGGCCTGGCTGCTGCCCAGCTCATCCCAGCTCTCGGTGCCAGGGAGAGCTAAACCCTGCTGGGCTTTGCTGGGGTTTTTTGGGGTTTGCTGCTTCCCTGGGCTCTGCAGGGCTGAGCCTCCAGGGGAGGCGGTGCCCGGGTACATCCTGCGGTTCCCGGCCGGGACAGGATGCTGGCAGCGCCCGGGGGGCCAGCAGGGCTCAGGGCAGCTGTGGGGACACACGGCACCGCAGGGACTGCCAGGCTCCCGGCTGGAATTCGCTGCTGACAGCCCGAGGCACCCCGAGCGTCCTGACAGGGACATTCCGCGTATCCTCACGCACAGCTTTCGGTGCAGGCGGCCCTTCCCCAGCCCAGCCTGTGCCGGCTCCGGGCTGCTCAGCGCTCCCGGGGCTGGCCGAGGAGCGGAGGTTTCCCGATCCCAAGCTCCCGTGTCACAGCAAACCCCAGAAGATAAAAGCTGCCTCCGCGCGGCTCCCCAAAAATGAGCTGCACTTTGCGCCTCTCAGTCCCGCGGGACGTTCTCCTCTATCCATTTGAGGTAGACAGGGTTTCCTTGGTCAATGGGCAGGCTGATGATTTCGGGGATTTCAAAGGGATGGATGGATCTAAAGTGGAAACAGGCGCGGAGCAGCAGAGTGAGCGCCAGCCCCGCAGGAAGCTCCAGCTCTGCCCGCGCCCTCCCGCACTTCAAAGCACCCGCGGCTCCTTTCTGCCACGTGGGAATTTTGCTTTGAGTTTGGGGTTTACCACAGACTGCCGGGGGCCTGGCCCCAAGCTGAGAGTGCTCCCCCCTCGGGAGCTGCAGGAAATCCTGTCAGGGAATAACCTGTGAGGAGGAGAATCCCTCCTCGAATGCAGCACGGAGGGCTGGCTGGAGCACAGCAGTTGAGATTTCTGCCACCTTTTCCTTTTTGCTGATGCCACCTCTGGGTTTTTCTGGCTTGTAAGATACAGCAGGAGCACTTAACCCCCCTGGCCGGGATGGGGCTCAAGGAACTCCCAAAGCTGGAGCAGGAGGTGACAGCCTACCTTGGGTGGGACACCCAGTGCTCCTGCGGAGCCAGAGCCTCACCTGACGTAGTTGGACAATTCCCCTATTTTGGACGTCCTTGTTTTCACCAACTGTGGAGAGTAAAAAACCAGAACAAACCCCAAGGGAGGTGTGAAGGGATGGAGGGATCCTGATCCGGTTCCACTGCCCCCACCAGCACGGCCAGGGGTGTGACAGGAGCTCCTCCAGGGCTCCTCCCCGGGGATGGTCCCAAACCCAGCAGGTGCCAGGAGCCAGGAGGTGACAGGAGCTCCTCCAGGGCTCCTCCCCGGGGATGGTCCCAAACCCAGCAGGTGCCAGGAGCCAGGAGGTGACAGGAGCTCCTCCAGGGCTCCTCCCCGGGGATGGTCCCAAGCCCAGCAGGTGCCAGGAGCCAGGAGGTGCCAGGAGCTCTCCCAGGGCTCCTCCCTGGGGATGGTCCCAAGCCCAGCAGGTGCCAGGTGACAGGAGCTCTCCCAGGGTTCCTCCCCAGGGATGGTCCCAAACCCAGCAGGTTGGTGCCCAGACTGCCGGGGGCCTGGCCCCAAGCTGAGAGTGCTCCCCCCTCGGGAGCTGCAGGAAATCCTGTCAGGGAATAACCTGTGAGGAGGAGAATCCCTCCTCGAATGCAGCACGGAGGGCTGGCTGGAGCACAGCAGTTGAGATTTCTGCCACCTTTTCCTTTTTGCTGATGCCACCTCTGGGTTTTTCTGGCTTGTAAGATACAGCAGGAGCACTTAACCCCCCTGGCCGGGATGGGGCTCAAGGAACTCCCAAAGCTGGAGCAGGAGGTGACAGCCTACCTTGGGTGGGACACCCAGTGCTCCTGCGGAGCCAGAGCCTCACCTGACGTAGTTGGACAATTCCCCTATTTTGGACGTCCTTGTTTTCACCAACTGTGGAGAGTAAAAAACCAGAACAAACCCCAAGGGAGGTGTGAAGGGATGGAGGGATCCTGATCCGGTTCCACTGCCCCCACCAGCACGGCCAGGGGTGTGACAGGAGCTCCTCCAGGGCTCCTCCCCGGGGATGGTCCCAAACCCAGCAGGTGCCAGGAGCCAGGAGGTGCCAGGAGCTCTCCCAGGGCTTCTCCCTGGGGATGGTCCCAAGCCCAACAGGTGCCAGGAGCCAGGAGGTGCCAGGTGACAGGAGCTCTCCCAGGGTTCCTCCCCAGGGATGGTCCCAAACCCAGCAGGCTGGTGCCACCCTCCCCAAACCTCCCTGCAGCTCTTTTCAGCTGTGGCCATTTCCAACAGGGATTTTTGTGATGTATGAATGATCACTTACCAGCAGTATTTCAGTGGATTCTTCCAATTCCCCTTTCCAGAAATACCTGGATTTAAAAGAAAACCAGCATCAACAAATCCAGCTCTGCTGCAGCCATACCAACCCTCAGGTTCCTTTCCCTGCTTGGTGCTTTTTGCACGTGGCCATTTCTTTACAAAGTGCCTCAAGGAGGATTTTTGACCCCAAAACTGCTGAGCACATGAGTGAGCACCCCAGCTTTATGGACAAGAGCCTCCCCCAGAGAATTTGCCCAGGAGGACTGGCAGGGCAGATTTGCTGGGGCTGGGGTGTCCTGTGCTGGTGGCTCTGAGCAGTGCCTGGGGGACAGTGCCTGCAGGGACCTTGGCTGTGAGGCTGAGCTTTCTTCCTCTCTTTCCCTGCAGGAGAGGAGCTGCACTTCTCATGAGTCAGATGTGACCTTTCAAAACATTTCCGCTGCCAGGAGCTGTCCTGATCTCATCTGCCTGCAGGGCTCCTGCGGGGAGGGCTCAGAGGCGTCGCGGTGTCTCGGAGCAGGGCACGGAGCAGGATCCAGCTGGAGCTGTGCAGGAGCAGCTCTGCTCTGTCTTTTGAGTTTGTAGGACATGATGGATAAGGGGAAGAAGGGCGTTTCTGGGTTTGCCCTCAGGTGGGATATGGAGGTGCACTGTGGGATGCCCTCCTGAGGGAAGCTGGGGTGGGATGTGCTCCCCACTTCTGCCCAGGGTGTTTCTGTGAGGAAAAGCTGTTTTGGGGCTTTGCTCTTGAACCCCTCCAACAAGTGCAGTCCCTTTGCATGGACAGCTGAGGACACCTGCAGAGCAGGGCTGGGTCTGTTCCAAGGTCAAACCTTCTGTTCTTCCTGCCTGAAAAAGCTGCTTCATTTTGCAAAGGCCTTTTCTGCTCCCTATATGGCTGCTTTTTAGAGTCTCTAATAACAGGCACCACATCCTCAGGACCATAAACCCTAAATTGCTGGATGTCTGTGTAGCCAAGTAACCAATAAATGAATGAGCCCCACGGGCAGTTGGAGCATCTGCACTCCTCAATAATCTCCGAGCACAGTGAGACTCATCCCCACCATCTGCAACAACAAACACACCCAGCAGCCTTCTGGAACCAAGGCCTGTGTCCATCCCCTCCTTCCCTCCCTCCTGCAGAGCCCAGGTTTGCTCCTCCCTTGGGGAATATCCAGCACTACTCACAAGGCTGAGCTCTTGGGCAGGATGTTCACGTAGGCAGCCAGTCTCTTATCCATGATGGCCCTGGGGGAGACAGGAGGGCAGTCAGTGCCAGCCCAGCTCAGTGCTCACCCCCAGCCTTGGGGACATTCCCTTGTGCTGCCCAGGACTGGCAGCAGCAGCTTTGACATTGGAGACACTGAATTTTGGGTTACTTATTACCCTGAGAAAACAGAAGCAAAGATGAACTTTGGCTGGAGATACTTCAGATCAGGCTCTCCTGGCAGGGCTCTGGGACCCTCCCTGTGCTGAGGAGGGAGTTTGGGGGTTGCTCCTGCCCAGTGCCAGCCCTGTGCCCCTGTGGCTGTGGGGTCACCAGGGCAGGGACTGAAATGTTGGACCACAAAAACCCAGCCTGGGATGGACAGGAAGGGGTTTGTCTGCCACTGTCCAACAGTGTCCCTTCCTCCCAGAGCAGCCTAAATGTGCATCTTGTTAAATTAAAAACATCAAGGTTCTTCAACCCCAAATATCCCAGAAATCTGAAGCCCAGATAGATTCCTTCCCTCAGGCTTCCTCCGTGAGTTGTGGGCTGGTTTGTTATTGCAGAGCTGCTCAGGAAGAAGTGAACTTCAGAGATTACAAAGCACTGAGACAATCTCAGGGAGGGTTTTTAGAAGAACAGGAGGCAAATGTTGTGTTTGGTGACCAGAGCAGTGTCTGGCCCTTCTCACAGAGGTGGCAGCTGTCCCTCCAGGCAGGGCACCAGTGACCCCACCTTTGGTTTGCTTTAGCACTGCCTTGGGGGGACCATGGCTGGAGAGGAAGAGCACCCCAGGAGGCTCAGGGTTGTTTGCTCTCACCATGTGTAGGCAGTTCCAGGCATTTAATGCCCCTGGAGCATCTTGAGTTAATCTTTAGACCAACAAAGTGCAGCAGCACGAGCAGAGCCACCCCTGCTGTGCCTGTCATGTCACACATGGCACAAATCAGTCCGTATTTGCTGCCTGCAACTTGCAAGTTCCTTTAGCACAGGAACCTTTTGGTTTCAGTGCTCTGTCCCAATAAATTGAGATCCTGAGATCCTGAACTTTGTCCCAGCAGGATGAGCAGCAACAAGAGGCCACCAGAACATTGTAAGAAGCTGAATGTGAGCTGTGGAAAATGTCTGCATAATACATGATAGCTTTGGGTTGGGTACTTAATTGTGTGTTTCTTTGCCCTGAAGTGAGACAGATGAAATATTAATAAGCAGAAAAGCAAAGAAAATGATAAACACAAATCTAAGGCAGCAGTGGGGGCTGGTGGGGTGCTGGGTAAGTTGGGTGAGGTGCAGTGGCCATACCACTCAGCCAAGGGGCTCAGCTCCTCCCAGGATAGGCAGGAAGGTCTTGAGATGCTGAGTTCTACCTGCAGCTCTTCTGCTTTCCCAAAGCTTGAACCCCTTTTCCTTAAACCAGTGGAAAATTTCCTTGCAGACTGATTCATCTGAGTGAGGGCTCCACTGAGCAGTGCAAAGGAAGAATAAACACAGGAAAAGGAGTGGGGGAAAATGAGTGTAGAAGCCCTGTGTCATCCCCTGCAGCCAGGGCTCATTGCTCCCAGTTCCAGAACAAAGGAATAATTACTTCACCAGTAAAACCACAACCAGAGTACACACATCTCAGCAAGGGGGAGTGATTTATCTCCTCTCCCTTCCCTGCAAGATGAGGAACAAAGAGTGGAAAGCATTTGCAGAGCTGTTAAGATGAGGCATTTTCAGGAACTGAGGCTCTTTTCACCAGGTACATTTGCTCCTTTTTTTTTTTTTTTTTAGGAGACATCGAGCAGTGCAGACATAATTCTATTTGAATTTCTTCATACAGTTGCAGTATTTAAGGTGACACAAACTCCCTTTCAGTAGCCTGTCAGTTCCTGAACATGTCTGGGAGCTCTTTGCTGGAGATGGAGGGGTTTTGGCAGCAGCAGGGCAGCAGGAAAACAGCGCAGGAGGTGTTGCAGGAAACTTCACGGTCCATCATAAACATTTCCCCAGTCAACACGGGTTCAGTTCTTTGAACAGACCATCCATTGAGTCAGGCACTGACAGATGTGTGAAAAGAACTCTGCATGCAAAATATCGCACAAAGTATCTCATGTATTAAAACAGAAGAAGGAAAAAGTAGGGGAAAAGCCCTCATTCCCTGAAGTTTGCCTCGTGAGCAGAGTGGTGCCTCAGAAGTGTTTGTTGTGGACCCTCTTTCCTTTATTTTCATGTCAAAGCACTGTGCTTGGTCTCTCTTTATAAATATCCCTCCTGGCATTTTGTTTTCTGTGCTGTTCTAGAGAGGAATAAAGACTGTGGCAGATCAGAGAACACCAGGTTGGAGCTTAATCCACCTGAGAACCCAGAAATTCAGGGTCATGAAAATGGGTCTTGAAAATGCAAGGCAGTGAAACACATTGAGAATTTCTTGCTGTTACCATGGCATTGACTTCAGAGGCAAATGTCAGCTTTCCTTGGGACAGAGCAGCTCTTGGCAAGGGCTTGTGATACAGTCAGTGTAAGGGAGCATTACTGGGGTATCACAGAATCCCTGTGGTAAAAATGTAGGAGTAATTAGTTCCTATTTCTGTGCTACAGGACAAGCTAGAATTGATTCCAGGTTAAATCAGGTCTTATAACAACACCAGGCTAAATTGTATCACACTGCAGAGGACTTGAAACTGCTCAAAAAAGTCAACTGAGTATTTTCCCATACTATCACCACCACCTCTATCTGTATGTATAGATTCTTATTGGAAAGTAGAACAGTTACTGAGTGTAAGAAAGGGCCTTCTAAACTAAACTTCTACACTTCAGAAAGAATTATGCAGCGCTCAGGCAACACTGAAGATCAGGAAAGAAGAGAAAGAAGAGAAAGAGGAGAAAGAAGAGAAGGAAGAGAAAGAAGAGAAAGAAGAGAAACCCAGAATGGTTTGGGTTGGGAGGCACCTTAAATCTCATGTCACTGCACGCCCTGCCATGTCAGGGACACCTTCCCCTATCCCAGGTTGCTCCAAGCCCCAACGTCCAACCTGTCCTCAAACACTTCCAGGGATGGGGCAGCCACATCTTCCCTGGGCACCCTGAGCCAGAACTGCAAAGGCCAGAGGGACAAGGAGATTCTCAGCTTTCCCCCAGCCTGGGAGCCCCCGGAGCAGGCAGGCAAGGGCGGCGTGGCCGTACCTGGCGATGTCCCTGGCGATGTGCTCGTTGGGACAGCTGATGAAGGCCACGGAGTGTGTCCCTGGCACGTAGCTGCCGCTGACAGCCCAGTGCAGCTGCAGAGCCAGGCCCCGGAGCAGGGGGTACAGGAGCAGCAGCAGCGTCAGCACCTCGGAGAGAACACCAGGGGTGGTGGGGGGTGAGGTACTGCGCTTGGGAAAACAGCATTTGTACTGTCTGGGCTTTGAGGGACATTTCCAGGCTTCTCTCAGCATTGCAGAACCAGTTAAATTGAATTAGGGTGACAGCCTGCTCCTAGGGGGATTCATTCCCCTCCAAGAGGGCCAATCTCGTGCTCAGGGCAGGAGAGGGGCACTTTTGAGCTGTTTTTGAGGATGTATCAGCCAGGCCTCGAATGTGGGAGGTCACCCCCAGATTAATGAGGGTTCCAGACCCAACCACAGCAGCCAGGACTGGCTTTCTGCAGAAGAATAAGGAGGTAAGACATGAAATGTCTTGGTTTCTAGTGCAAAAAAGAGCAAGAAGGGAATGGTTCCCACACCAGCACATCTCTCACACAGGACACATCTGCAGCCATCCTTCAGCTGTGTGCCAGGGGGGAGCTGTGCCCATCCCTCTGGGAAATGGGGGGAACAGGACCCTCTGCTCCCTGGGGATGTGGGCAGGGGAAGAGCAGCATGTCAGTGATTTGTCCATGGGAAACAGATGTGGTGCCAGGAGCTGGAGAATGCCCATCCTGCCCTGTCAGGTTCCTCTTCTCTGCCACAGCCCTTTGCAGCCCACCCAGCCCACGCTCCAGCCTCACAGCCTGACTTCAAGGCAGGTTTTAAATTCATCTGTCTGAACTATCTGCTTCTGGAAGCAGTGAATCAGGATCCTGGGGGGCACAGGGATCTCAGTGTACACAGCCCAGCTCTGCACAAACACCAAGGCTCTGCCCATGGCACGCAGAGCAGCAGCAACAAGTGGGGTTTGCTGTGCAGGAGCTGCTGCTCCTGGCAGGCCCCTTCACTGATCTCTGTGCTCTCGTGCCATCAACAGGGCTCCCAAAAATACATCATCATCCCAGCAGGGATGCTGTGGGAATGGGGAGGTTAATTTGGAGTGCTGAGGAGCAGCTGAAGGACGGTGCCGTTCTGGGCTGCAGCGCCTTCCCTTTGTCTTTTGTTTTGTTTTTGACATAAACAGCATCTGGCCCTGATTCATCTGCAGTGATTTAAAAAAAATGCTAAGAATATATTCCTTTTTCCCCCTTATTTCCACCCTCCTTTGTCCTCTGAAAAGCCTGCCACAACAGCACTAATGTAGAAATCTCTCCTTTTTTTTTTATTTCTTTTTTTTTTTTTAATTGAATTAAAAATCTCTCTTGTCACCACAAATCCAGGAGCTCCTTCCCATTTGGAAAATGACTGATGTGCTGTATTGCTTGTCTTCTCTTTCCCATTCCATTTGAGGAAATATTCCTTGTTACCACAAGACTTCTCATCATCATTTTTAGAGCTCCTTCTGTGCTCCTTTTTTCCCACTAAGCCATTTAGCAAACATTATACAACAAATCCCAGAAGCTACTCAGTGAGTTACAAGCCAAACAGAGATGTGCTGGTGTACCTATTTTTCCAGATTAAAACATAATCATGCTCCTTGCTCAGGGAAAAAAAACAAACATCCAACCTGTTCAGCCTGCTGATCATTAATCTTCTTGTAGGATGTACGTGCATGTGATGAGGAAATCCCCAGGATCATTCGTGATTGAATATTAGTACGAACATGAACACCACCTTCTGGTGTTTCCCCCCCTTTTTTATGAAAAGGAAGATTTCCCCCCATTTTTTTTTCCCCAGAATAATTGTATTTGCCAAGGAATGGTGCAAAAGAAGAGTGAAACATCAGGATTCCTGCCCGATAAACCAACTAAATTCATGATTGCCAAGATACTGAAGTGAACAAAACTGAAAACACCCCTGTGAGGATTTAAGAACTTCACTGAAAAGCACCAAGGAGCAAAATGCCAGTTTAGTGCAGAGAGACTCAGATTTCTGCAACACTTCTTTTGGCTTTGGTGAACTAAAAACAGCTTTAGGTTTAGAATCACCATGCCAGAACTCTTTGCCTAGTTTTGATGAGATTCTGTTAAAAAACTCCAACTGACCAACACCACCTGAGCACAACTTGTGGCGATGCTGAGTGTAAAAAAAACTTGAAAATTTCTTCTCTTTCAGCAGGTACAGGGAGTCCACCTCTCCTGCATGATGGTTTTGGGGAGAGGTTTGCTAACAGAAGTACAGACAGATATTTCCATGATTGCTTGGCAAGGGTTGGTGTCTGTTGTGCTCCCGAGGGAGTGTCCCACATCCGGCATCCCCATCCCATCCTCGTGTCCATCCATCCCTGTGTCCATCCATCCCTATGTCCATTCCATTCCCCTGTCCATTCCATCCCTGTGTCCATCCCTGTGTCCATCCCAGCTGTGTGTTCATCCATCCCCAATGTCCATCCATCCTCGGGTCCATCCCCGTGTCCATCCATCCCTGTGTCCATCCCTGTGTCCATCCATCCCCGTGTCCATCCCTCCCCGTGTCCATCCCTGTGTCCATCCCCATGTCCACCCATCCCCGTGTCCACCCCGTGTCCATCCCAGCCGCACTCACCAGCAGCACGGAGCCGCGGCCGGGCCGGGGGCAGCCCTGGGCAGCGGGGGGCAGCGGGCAGCGCTGGCTCAGCCCCTCCATGGCCGCCGGGCCCTCCACCTGCTGTGCCCGAGCCGCCAGCGCTGCCCGGACAGGCGGCACTGACTCCTCCTCCTCCTCCTCCTCCTGTCCTTCCTCCCGGCTGGGGCCCGCCCGCTCGGGACAGCGCGGTGTCCCCTGCTGTCCCCGCACCTGCCGGGCACAAATACCGGGGCTCGGCACCCCAGAGCGGGCTCAGACCCCGCGGTGGTGCCGAACGTCTGCCGGGCTTTCCAGATGCGTTTCCAGTTCTCCCCGGAGCCCTCCCTGGTGCTCTGGGACGTGCTGACCCCATTTATCGCCTTTGCTTCCATTTCCCTGTCTATAAAATTGATATTTCCTCAGATTTCTTCTGGGATAGAAACCGCCGGGCAGGGGCTGAGTCCTGGCGTGGAGTTTGTGGCGTTTGTACCCAAAATCTCCTGTGAGGGACGCGGGGCAGAGCCCAGCGCTGCTTGTGTCACTTTATTGTCACCCGTGTAACTTTTTACTGTCGCCCTGTCTGTCCCGGCAGTGTGCCGGGAGAATTCCCTCCCTGCCAGCCTGCAGGGCCCGCCGAGCTATCACGCATTTATTCGGGGGATGTAATCCTTGCAGAGCACAAAGTTATAGGAGTTACCTGACAGCATCGATTTGTTTGGAAAAGGTGAGAAAACTCAAGAAGACGTGAGGGGGTGGCAGGTTCTCCGCAGCCGGGAGCTGCTCCGGGCAGACACCGGGATGGGCCCGGCTGCTCCTGCTCTCCTGCCCTTCCCGAACCAGACAAACGCCGTTTATCGCAGTTTTGCCAAAAAACAGCGACACCGTGTTTGCCCGCACTCAGGGGATGGAGACCCGCCACACCGATGGGACTGCGCCCCTTCATTACAGAGATCACGCCTCTTTATTACCGGGACCACGCCCCTTCATTACCGGATCCACGCCCCTCATTACCGGAACCACGCCCCTTCATCACCGGGACCACGCCTCTTTATTACCGGGACCACGCCTCTTTATTACCGGGACCACGCCCCTCATTACCGGGACCACGCCCCCTCGCGCACACCCGGCGGGGCGGAGCCAGGGGGGCGTGGCGCGCGGACATTTTGTTTACATTTTGCCGGACGCAAAGGGCGCCCTTAGCAACGGCGCGGCGGTTGCTACGGGCGACCCGCGCTCTCGCGATATTCCCGCCCGGCGGTTGCTACGGGCGAACGCGAGTTCTCGCGAGACTCCCGGGAGGTGGCGGAGGCGGCCAAGATGGCGGAGGCGGCGGCGGAGCTGCTGGAGCGGGCGGCGCGGCGGGACGCGACGCTGGAGGAGCTGCGGGCCCTGCGGGTCGCCGTGCAGGCCGTGCCGCTCGCCGCCCTCCGCTCCCGCCTCGGCGAGCACCACCTGAGGGCGCTCTTCGGCCTCCTCGCCAACAATGAGCGGTGAGCTCCGGCGCGGTGCCGCGGGCCTGCCCGGCCCCGCTGCTGCTCTCCCGGAGCGGGGGGGTCCTGCCGCTTCTCCGGGTCATTCCATGCGCTCTTTCGGGGCGGGAGGTGGTACAGCGGTGTCAGTCTCCTCACGGGCTCGGTTTTCTCTCCGTCCCGCCCAGGGAACAGGTGTCCGCGTGTGTTTCCATCCTGGAGAGGCTCCTGCCGGCCCTGGACCCCCTTTACGTGATCCAGAACCTCAGGGAAGAGCTGCGGAAGGGCCTTTTCCACCCCGATGACTCGGTGAAGATCCTCACCATGTCCCAGGTACCGGCTTTCCTCCAGGAAGAGGGGACAGAGCTCTGTGCTGGGCTCTGGGTTTGTCCCCATCTGCTCTTTCCTGCCTCGGTTTGTGATGAGAGCAGGAATTGTGTCCTACACTTGTTCCATTTCGGATAATTACCCTGCAGTGTGTGTGTATAATGCTTTGTGATATGTCAGTAATAATGTCCAAAGCTATGCCCTGACAAAAGCAGGTTGTGAATAAAACTTCTGCCACGTGTCCTGGTTAAAACTCTCCAGGCCAGCAGGTGATGGAAGAATTAAAAGCAGCAACATTTTCATATTCAGGATACTTTAAACTACAATGGAAACACCAAACAGGCTGTGGGAGCTCGACACTTGCTGCATTTCAAAGAAGAGGATTGTGGGATGTTGTGGTTTGGGGTGGATTTCTAAAAGTTCAGCTAAGAGCAGCTGCTCAGGTGTTGTCCAATTGAATTTTGATCCAAAAACCTGAAAATCTTGTGACTCTGTCTTCCTGTCCAGCTGTTCCAGTGCTCGAGTATCCTTACAGTGGGAAATAATTTGTTCTAATGTTATTTTCTGTGACTCTCTGACCAGGTTGGGAGGATTGTTGAAGACCCAGCTGCTGTCCCAGAGATTCTGCACAGCCCTGAGCTGCTACAGCAGATCATAAACTGCATTGGTGGGGAGAAAATAGCAGTGGCCAAAGAGGTAAAGGTGCCTTTATTGTCCCATTCCTCTGCCAGCTGAGGTGGTTGGGTGTCAATAATAACGAGCTCTCATCAGTGAAAAGTGAATTACAATTAAAATTAAGCGTATAGCTGTAGTTAAGTTAATAAAGGACTAAGACGTGATAGTGTTGGATTTTATTCTCTGCGTGATTTGTTCCTTTTTAACAAGAAGCTCCTGTTTTTGCCTGCAGGCCATTAAATCTCTGTCAAGGCTAGCCCAGAGCCAGGAGGGTCTGGAGGCTGTGTTTGGGAGCAGCTTGCTGGGGGACCTGAGGAGGGTCACGGCCACCAGCGACGTTGTTCGGTACCGGGTCTACGAGGTGGGCTGCTCCTCTCAGCCTGCCTTTCATGGCTTTCAAATTATTGCTTCTCGCTGCTTTACCCACTTTTCTTCATGTCTGTGTTTTATCAAAACTAGAAAGGAGTGGGGAGGTTGCAGCACTGGGGGCTCTCGTGATGTCATTAACTTCTCCAGCCCATTTTTTGGTGTAAAAGTGTGAACTTCTGTTCATTTTCTAACTTGTGGTGCCTAAGGCATTGGAAGGGCTGCACAGAATCACTAAAGGCACCAGAAAGAGTTTGTTTCTGTGAAAATAAAAGTAAAATAGTTAACTATAACCTCTTGACTTCTGGATGTGAAAAGCTGCTAAGAGTTTGGGAGAGATGCCAGCTGTCAGTCTAGAGATGTTTGGCAAAGGAAAAATAACAGAATTTAAACATTCTAGAGCTTAATGGGGATAGCACAGGAAGAGCTGATTGTGAGTAGAGGTCAAATGCTTGTGCTGTAAACTTGGACCTCCTTGTGAAGTTGCTTCAGGCAGACATTTGGGTTAATGATAAAAATGTGATCAATTCCATATTTAATATATGTGAGGTTAATTAGCACAGAAGATGTATTTGGCTGTTGCAGTGAATTATTATAATGTTCTTATAAACTGTTCCTTTTGCTTTTATTTAGTTAATTGTGGAGATTTCATCAGTGTCAGCAGAGTCTCTGAATTACTGTGCAAGCAGTGGGTTCATCCCTGAGTTAATTGGGGAGCTGACTGGAGAGGATGTGCTGGTCAGGTATGTTGGTGAGTGTGCCCAGGACATTTCCACCATTGTTAAAACTCTAGTAAATGTATTTGTGTGTGTTTCTTGTAAAATCCTGTTCAGAAAAACTTCTTAAACTGCCTTGGGTGTGAAATGCTTCATACCTTAACCTGAGGACCGAGCTGGAGTGATAATTACCATGTTTGGCTGCAGCAGAAACACTTCAGATTCTTCCCCAAATCCAAAGAGCTGAGAAGAAGCTTGAACAGTCAGGATCATTTGGCTTTCTTTGCTAGGATTTTGTCTTATGGATGTGGCTTCTTTTTATCAATCACTGAGTGCTTCAGGCCCCTCCTGACACAAACTGAACTCTCCTGGTGTGTTGCAGAGCCACGTGCATCGAGATGCTGACCTCGCTGGCCCTCAGCCCCCAGGGCAGGCAGTACCTGGCTCAGCAGGGAGTCATCGACAGGATCTCCAACATCATCCTGGGGGCAGAGTCTGACCCCTTCTCCAGCTTCTACCTGCCAGGTGCCACCCTGCATTCCTTCTTTCCAGCCTTTGCTGCTTGCTTTGGTAGTGGGTTACATTGACAGCGCTGCCAAGCCTCTCTGTTGAGAGCTCAGGGGAAATTTTGAATATTAGATTGGATGTGTAAAATATTTTAAAATGCTGAAGGACAGCTTGACACATGAAGGATGTTCCTCAGTAAGATCTGGGTAGGCTGTGGTGTAGCTTTAAAGTTTGTGTTATTGTAGCCTTTTTTAGGAATACAAACATCATGAATTAAGCAACAGTCAAAATATTTGGCTTGTTGCTTAGTTCTGTCTTTATTTTGAGCTTTTTACCAACACTATTCAGACTTAATAACACATGTTTAGGAACAAGTCAATCTCACATTAATGTACATTTAATTTTACCATTGCTGTTCTTCCACTCAATGCTTTTTTGGTCTTGTTTTCTCAGGATTTGTTAAATTTTTTGGCAATCTGGCTGTTGTGGACAGTCCCCAGCAGATCTGTGAGCGCTACCCTGTCTTTATGGAAAAAGTCTTTGAAATGGCAGAAAGTCAGGATCCAACCATGATTGGAGTGGCTGTGGACACACTGGGAATCCTGGGATCAAATGTGGAAGGCAAACAGGTTTTACAGAAAACTAGTTAGTATCTTCTTTTTTCAATAATACTTTATAATGTAAGAGTGAATTGGTTTGGGGTGATGCAGAAAGGAATTAATTCACTTATCTAATGAATAAATTTATAATGTAACTGATGGGTGACTGTATTCCTGTAGAGATCTGGCTGAATTAATTAAAAGCACTTTGTTTTTGTTTTGAAAGGAAGTAGATTTCAAAATATCTTAAGCAAAATAGGGCACCAGGCCAAGAATGCCCCCACTGAGTTACGGCTTCGGTGCTTGGATGCGATTTCATCCCTGCTTTACTTGCCTGTAAGTTGAGCTTTTTGTCTTTGTGTTTTCTTTACATCTCCAAGAATGAAATCATCACACACCTGAGTAACTGAGGAGACATTTTG